GCGATATGGTTAATTATTACAATTAAGCCATTCTGAGCTGAGAGTATCCCAATTCCTCGCGGGAATTTCCTGGTACGCACACACAAGGTTGCTGCATTATTACTCACGCTTGGATTTAATACAATCCCGTATGAATTCGTATTATAAATTACTTATTGCTAGATCTTCGTTCTCAAAGAGCATTTGTGAAGGATGTCAAAGGAGGAGATATACCTTGTTCAAAAACGAGAAAGAAAAACGAGATAACGCATGCTGCGATTTATGATAAAATGTATTATGTGACGCAAGTAAGATTAAGCACTTGTAAGCAAACTATTCCACACGCGAATTTACGCGAATGTTATTTTTTCCCATATACTTTAACATAATAAAGGTTTGCAACGTTTAGGAAAACGTTTAAGCTTTAAATTATAGTCTTATATTTATTCTTATTTAAATTTAACTTTCTACCTTTCCTTGAATCATTGAATCATTCGTCAATAATTCATTAATATCAAGTACTTATTCAAGTTAAAAAACACACAGAGAGAGAGAGAGAGAGAGAGAGAGAGATACTTTCCACACATATATAGTGTAATTACTACTTCTAAATGAAATAAAGCTATATCCATAGAAATCGCCTCTTTTTATTATATATTGAAAAAAAAATCGATAGAGAGTTGATGTGTCTTCCTCCCTTCGCGTCAAGCAAAAGTTCTAATCCAAATGTTATTACAATTAATTTTCAATATGGAATTATCTTGATCAAAGCGCTCAATGTTTAAATAAATTTTAAAATATCGACAAAGATATTTATAATGTATGTACATTATAAATTTTTGTATGTAATAAGAATATAATTCAAGAGCCTTACTCAATCTCTCATATTCGAAAACAAATCGAATCAAATGCGCTGTGATTTGATTAAAATTCGAACTGATTCGCCACCACTGCTAGAAAATCCGATAATTATGATACCGAACAATTGCCTATGTTGTCGCGACATAACAAGAATTATAAAAATAATAAATGTAATATTGGAAAAAAATAAACTTTTTAAAAATATAACTATTAATCTTTCAATAGCTAGAAGCATATACGGATAACACCCTACGACAAATATTGAAGCGGTATCTTCCAGGAGAGAGAGAAATTACATTTCCACTAAATTCAATTTGTAAACGTGCGCGGTTATACGCTTCCGCGCTGTTAAATTGGAATAAAATCATTTCTCGCTCTGTCTTGATTTCTCCGAAGTGCAGTGCAAGGATTTCTGTAATTACGCACTTGCCGTCTCGCCCGGTGCATCGACGGCGGTAACGTTGAATTCACTGACTTTGGTCTGGCACTGGCTACAGTTCTCTGAATGAAATCAATGAGCGTAAACGCACGTGTTAAGCGGACGGCATTGTTGCGCCAGCATTGTTCGAAGCAGGTTATTGTTACATTATGCCCGCATTATTGAGCCTTATTACGAGCAGACGTTTAAAGCAGCATATTCCACGCGACTTACATTGATGCACAGTGAATGCGTGAAATGTGCATCGATGGCATCCTGGGAGTCATACATTTGCGTTTTGATACAAGTTATATAATAGTATTGAGTGATAGACAAAATACAAAACACTATCGACACTTTACTGCTTTCACTAAAATGATTGATTAATTTATATACGATTTTTATACATTACGGACAATAAGATTGTTAATAAGGAAGGTTCATCGACTACTTGAAAATTTATAAAAAATCTGAAACTGCAGTTATGCAAAATACTATAAAGTACATATGAACCTATAATCACACAGTAATTTTTGTTTCTTATAGTAATATTATAAATTTAATATAAAATAAACCTACTTTTACAAAAATAAAAAATTCAGAATGAAATTGCATGATTATATTATTATCAGTTACATAAATTGATCAAAAGTATCGTCAAAATTTAACATCAGTTGAATGATGTTACATGCATAAAACAAAATGTAACTGTTAAATTTTTATGTAATATATCATACGTATTTCTTATTCATTTCAGATTTTTCGTATGTTTGTTACAATAAAATCATTTATATTAAATAAAAATATTAAATGTTGATTAAAGGTACACAATATGAATAATCTATACGTATTCAACAATTCTCCCATGAAATACAGAAATTCATGGTTTTTTATGGTCTAAAACAATATAAAATTTAAAAAATTATTTTAATATTTTTCTACCATTTGTTTAACCATTTAATATAGTTATGTAGTAAACTCGGAAAAATAAACATTTGCGTGCTATGAAAATTATCTCATGTGTTAATTCATGTAGGACGATACTTTATTACATTTTTTGTATCATAGAATTAAATCAAATAACTCTCTTATAACATTATTTATCTATTATAATATCTATTCTCTATATTCTTATATTTTTCATTTATTTCCTAGCGTTTTTCTCTGATATTATTTTCAGATATTAAAGATTAATTTGACACGTTTAGAAAAATTATAGTCTTCTCAATTCATACATGATAATAAATGATTGGTGAGACACTTTATTTGATTACTCAACTATTATTAAACCATAAAAACTTGTAGATTTAAGAGATCGTAAGGAAAACAAAATTAAAAAAATTCCTTATTATATTAGTGTGTAGGTCAATCATGATAAAACCATGAACGCGTTTGAACAATATTTAACACTTTTCATTAGTTATAGTTCTTATAGTTTTCAAAATACAGAAAATCAAATTTACTTTGAAGGAAAATTTTCATCTTATATAAAATCACATTTATCAACCAAAACAGAAAATTGCTATGCGATTAGATCTGTGCATATTTTATTTCTGTAAAGTTTCAGAATTAGTTTTAGAAAATTTGTGATTTGCCGAACTTTCTCCATAGGTAGGAATATGAAAGACCCAGTGTTACAGTGTATCTTTTTTAGAAATCAACAGAGCGTGAGATTTGCAGACTACTTTTAACTAGAAGATAATGATCTTCATTAAAAGTTCCGACATTGCGACGACTAAGATTCGACGACGAGTATCATCAGAAAGTAAAATGATTTCGGCAAAGTTTTGAAAAAAAAGAAAGGACGACTCTAGTCGCACCGCAATCTCGCCGATTGGTTTCGGGAACCTCATCTATTTAATCACAAAATTATCCATCGGCATCACGCATTTTAACGAGGTGCCGACGTTTAGAACTGAAATTATAAAGCCGATAGGTGTGGACCACTCTGATCGATTTTTCCTTATTCTGTCCTTTTTTCTCTCTTATTTCTTTTTTCGACCGCACTTTAAAGCGCTCCGTTCTTGTCACAACATTGCTTGCGTGCTTGTATTCCAGACAACGTACAAGGTGTCTGCACTTTACGACGAGGACTTTATTAGCATTTTACGCTATGTATCATCTCGCGCCAGCGTCGATGTCAATATATGTATATATATATATATCTCTCATTTTTTTGTAATATCGAAAATGTAGGAGAAAGGAGAGGAGAAAAAGGAAAGAAAATCGCTTGAAGGTGTCGCATTTTCGAAAAATAAGGAATCTCTTTGCTCCTCCCACGCTCTTAGTAATCCGAGCGAGCACATCGCGTTTATAATCTCGCAGCGATCCAGAGCTACGATTTTTCGAGTACACTCTGTACAACATGACATACCTTCGTTAGAATGATCAACGTTAATTTATTACACAAGATTAATGACTCGCGGGATCCGTTCTATTGTACGATTATCCACGTATACGAGATTATTATGTAATTACGAGCGTGAAGCTTCCCTTTCGATTAATGCGAAACGCTGTTCTTCCGGCGCAATATCCGCTCTTCCGTGCTCCAATTATTTGCCCACGTGAGCTGTTACGGCGGGGTCCGAGAGATTATTTCTTGCGTTGCACTTTAATCCTGCGAGCCTCTCTCTGTCCCACGTACAATAAAGTTCTCTTATAGGATCGAGAGCACGCACGCGATCAAAGAAACGTTCGTTTCAAAAGTCCTCTCATGCGCGATGATTTTCTTCACTCTCCCTCTTCCCCTCTCCTACCTTTCTTCTGTCTGTCCCTTCTCTATTATATTTTCTTTTCTTTCCTCTCCCATCTATATTTATTTAACTCACGCTAAAAAGCACACGTGGTATTCGCGATAACAATTAAAGGCAGATAACCGGGTGCTCATCAGTTTTGTGCCGGTGATTGCAAAGTTTGCCGGACATCCGGCCAAGTGACGATCATCTTTACGATAAATGTGGGCGCCACGACAACGAGCGATTCCGTTCTCGTCGCTTTAATCTCTCATAAATTGCGAAAGCGGAAGACAGATGAGAATAATTGTTGAATAATAGCACAGTTTTTCCATCTTGTTTCAATCACTTCAGTGTTCACCAGCTATATACGGGATGTTCTGGCATTCTATCGTATTTCCTTTGAGAGACGCATCCTTTAATTGTCAAGTACTGACGCAGTAACTCAATTAAGATATTGAATGTCAAAGGCTACGTAAAAGAATATCTTGACTGATTTCTATAATACATTGGGTAATACTCGATGTACTTCGTGTAGTAATTCTTTCAATTAATAACTATCTACGTTTTACGAAAACTTGACACAATATGCTATTAATAACAACACCCAAAATTTAATAAAATTGACATTGCTTTTTTTGATTGATGACATCAGCTCTACTAAGTTTTAGATCATAAGCCATTGGAAGTAAAAAGTTAGGAAAAATGAACGCTTCGGTGCTTCGCTCGTCGAGTGATTTTATGTCTTGCGACGGAAAGTCGACTATATAAACCGGTTGGAAAAACGAGACTTGAGGATTAAAGTAACTTCGTCGGAAAGTGCAAAGAAGACTGCTGGATATAGGGAAGATAGGAGAGATCCTCTCGCGAAGCGGGACAGCGGATTTCACGGTTCGCGTCTTTCATCTGTGCTAACGCGCGTTCCTGCGTAGATATGTCTCCGAAATAAAATATTCCTTTCTTTCGCGCGCGCGCGCGCGCGGGTGTCGGGATAAATGGGTGATACGTACAAACAGCACCACGTTGTAAATGTGAAGAACGTATTTCAAGAAATTCACGGAACAGCAGCCGTCGTCCCTGGTCCTAAGTCTGGTGGAAGTACCGGGTAATCTCTCAGCGCTTTTGGCCATTTTCAGTCGATCGTTAGGCTGCGTGCGTCCTTCTTGTCACCTGGTTGCCGTTACTGTAAAACAGAAATGACAAAAAATATCAGAAAAGAGGAAAGAAAAATTTGCCTTAAAAGATAGACACAAAATTTTTGAGAAAATATGATAATTCACGTTTCGTATTAAACTAAATGTTTACGTGTATATATTATATTTATGTGTGATATGCATACATCACATATATAAATAAATATAATGAAAAAATGTATGTCCTTATAATATAAGGCGTTAAGTAGTGATACAGCTAAGAAACTTTCGCGAGAAAAAGTTATCTTTACGCAGCGTGAGATAAAAAATAAATACATAAAGAAACAGTTTACGACTATCTAAGAAAGCGTTTAAGAAAGTAATCAACAAGTTTTCGACCGTCTATTGCCCAAGAAAGTAATCAACGAGCTTTAGTTTCAATGTCGGAATCTTCGTTGCTGCTTGCTTATACTCGCTTGGACAATGGATGAACCTTAAAGCTCTTCTTGTTCCGGTTCGATGTAAACTTTGTCGGAATAACATCAGTGCGACTTCACGGTGGATCAACAGTGACTGAGAAAAGTTCTTATGTAAGATGTGTTAAAGTACTGAAAAATTGTCTCTTCGATCTTGATCTTAAAAATTCGACTGTTCAAAAAATGTGCGCATTTAATGTCGTGAAATATGCTTTTTAGCAATAAAAGGATGTAATATTTGATCATAACGTATAAATTCACATGTCACTGTCTGTAAGACGACAGTTAACAAAAATAGAGAAGAGTTTTCTTGCTCAGACAATTTATAGTACGTGCCGGAAAACGCTTCCTCGAAAGCAACTCTCACCTTTAGACGACAAACGGCAAAGCGCTTTTTCCTCTGCAAAGAAGCGAGTTAAATTTAATGTCGTTAGAATTCAGAAGAGCGATGTGCCGTGCCGCTCGCCGTCTTTATGTCGCGAATGCTGGCAAAGATATCGGAAAATTGACGTAATTTGATAATCACGTACTCGATGGGCCCCCGTCAGATAGATATTTGTGTAATGTATTATATATTAGGCGCATGTAAGAAAATATAGTTGGCGACGTAAGATAATGATCGAGTATCAAGAGAGTAATTTTCGCGCCGGTTCGAAGCGAAAGCAGCGCACGTTGACAAGAGCCCAAGCAAAAACGATTCATAGATTTTAATCTGAGGGATTATGATTAGCCATAAGGGACCACCGTCACTTCCTTCTCCGTTATATGAACTTTACTTACACGAGTGATGTATTAATGTCAGGTGGATTTTCAAGCCTTGAAGCTGCAACGTTTTCGAATTGAACGATTCGTGTAATTTTTTCGAATTTCTTAAATCTGTTTATCAATCGAAAGAGAGTTCTTTTTTTTTCGATATTAGCAGTCATTTGAATTATAATACAAATGGCGAAATAATAATGTAAAAAGAGAACCTCAGTCATATCCAATGGAGCCAACCTTGGATTTGGCACATAATGTCGTTTCACGTTGCCAAGAAATGTGAAGGCCCACCTACGCTTTAATGCATAGCATCCTCTATCTTCGCTCTTTTCCCTTGCCATCCTTTCTGCAATTCTTTCGTATGCGTACGCGAGTCGCATTCCATGTAAGAATGCACGAGAACGCCAAGTATTTTGCTGCACGAAAAGCTGACACGACAGATTGCATGTGATATTTCAGTTCTTTGCACATGTAACGATTATACCCACATTGAGAAAGCAGCGAGATCAAGTTGAACATGTCGAAATGACGTGGTTAAATATCTGGATTCTAGATGATGGAACTTGATATCTAATAACACGGTAATTTATAGGGGAAAGTTGCCAAATCACTTGAATTTATATTTCATATTTGATATCTGATTTGTATGTATAATATATATATTCGATTGACCTAAAAAAAAATTTTTTTTTAATCAGCCTCTGAGTTCAAAAGCTTCCATTTCTCATGCCAAAAGAACACCTGAAAATGAGCTGGCCACGGATCGGTTCACCGCGTCCGATCCACCGATTTGATATCGTACAACTTTTTGTAAATATAATATTTTCATATCTCTAAAAACAGCGGATATTTAAGGTGGACAAAGTTATTACCCCACCCTGTATAACACATACAATTGCATGACAATACTATTATCAGCCACACACAACTAATAGAAAATTAACATCAATTAAACCTGATTTTTTAAGTTTAGCACGCACAAAACAGGATATAACTGTTGAATATTATGCATTTCTCATTTATTTCATATTTTTCATATTTTTGTCATAAAATTGTTTATATTAAGAAAAAAATATAATATATTAATGTGTTATGAATATGAAGTACGTTTTATGCGACCGGTATAACGCATTCAGCAATCTCTCCCCTATATAATTTAGTAATCTATTTAAGTAATCGCGTTATCCCCTCATTTACATATATATGCTTATTACTGCATATTATAACTCTCGAATTTTTTTCGCAACTCGATGCTATTGTACGTAAAGGAGTATTGATTAATTTGTAGTTTGATTATAGCGCCGCATTGTTCTGTGAATTTCGATTCAGGGCAAGATTGCAATTCGGCGGAGGAAAATTGCATTTGTTGTGGTCACAACTCCTGTTCGTACACGTGACTTGTATACCGAACGAAAATACATAGCAATCACTCGATCTTCTCGACCGATATACATCGTTGTGTGCAAGGAATCTTCTAAACAGCATAAAAGAAGGATAAAAATCTTGTGCATACAGCCCGAGTCTTTTTATAAACTTTCTACTTAATTTTAGGTATATACATGCATTTCCTTAAAACATTAATTAAGTCTCCTCGGAATTTTAGATTAATACATTTAAATGAAATAATGTAAAGATGTGGAAGGAAAATATACAGAGAATATACTTTTATGCCATCGTATAGATAGAACTGAATGGAATATTTGCATCCTCATAAATTCAACAAAATTGTCGTATCAAGTATCGTTTAATGAAAATCGAGAACTGCTGTCGTGCATGATCGCACCATTTGACATTATCTAATAAGAAGTCAGAAATAAAATAGTGACTGCCTCTTTCTTGTTTCGAGCCGTCTCTCCTCGGCCAACAAGAGCGACGAGAGTGCGAAGGATAAATGGCGCATAATGAGGATCGGAAGGGAGAAACGCGCGCGGATCACGCCGGGAATTGGTAGGTGGTGGATGGAGAGCGGAAGACAGAGGTGATTACGGCGACGGGCGAAGAAACCTGAGAAGGAGAGATGAAAGAAGAGAAACCGCGAAATTAAATGGGTGTGACCCGTCCCGCGTGTCGTGTGGGCGAGGCTGTTCTCGAGGTGTGCGAGTAGAAAACTTCCCCGACGTGTGTATGAATAAATTTTTCTCTCCGCCGAGTGCAAGGTCAAAGCTTTTAGTCGCAGGTTCGATGCACCGCGATTATTGACCTCCTAAAATTTGTCAGTTATCCACCCGCTCAATTACAACACGCAAACATATCCCCGATTAAATGGAGTATCGATATATATATATATATGTTTTAACGCGAATAATCTGTCCTTTTTGGAGAGGAATATAATATATGTATATTTCTTCACGCAATATATACCATATATCGTATATTACGAAAATGTGCGATTTAACTTGGATGCATAGATAGCCAATTTTCAAAAAAGCGCGCACAGGAATACGTAAATATGCAAATTGCCGTTATCGATTCACCGAGAAATGCACATATACATTTTGTGATAATCAAGTGAAATGAATTCTGATTGATGATGTTAATTTAATAATCGCTCAAATTAATGTACAGCGTTGAATTCCGCGCGAATGATGTAATGTTTATCTCGAATTTCCCCGCTGCTGTCGCATTTTATTTCGATTTTTTTTTTCGCAGATTATTGCAGACCCCCACCTGTCGTTACCGATACTATCATACCTTTTTCTCGAGCAACACGATGATCATCGATCGCGCATAAAAAACGATTAAATCGACGTAGGTACCAAATACGTGCTTTAGCCAGGAGTAACCCGCTCAATTTTAACAGATTCGTTATCCACTTCCGGTTCAGAGGAGCGCATTAATTCGCGCTATGGAAATTTCCCTGCTCGCGTCGTTACTCCGATGAGAGGGATACGGGGGTTGCGAAGTTCTCTGGAAATATCGTCCATTATCCCCGATGCTTGCCGCAGAAAATATACAGACGCGAATCAGGACAACAACGTAAACAACTTCGCGGCTTTCCACGTCGGAAAACACATACTCTGTTCGCCGGCGCGAAAAAAATATCGCGGTTACGAAAAATACATCGTACATTCATCACTCAAGCGGTTGTGTAATATAGTATACTTTCAGATTGTAACGATCATAATATTACCTTTATCAATAAGGGATGTTAATTATACATATATTCGTTACGAGACAAGCAGGGTAAAGCAATTAATCGACATCGAATGTTATCATAATGATATGTTATCTTAGGACTATATTCAATATATTACTCTTATAAATACTAGCTATTAGACATTAAAAAATTGCAATAACAGAAAAAATGCATCATGTTGAAGCAAAACTTACAGATTATGCTAACAAATATAGATCGTGAAATATGAAAAAATTAAATTATATTTTTAATAAAAATATTGAGTTAATAAATTAATTCATTCGGTTTTCTTTAGGATGGAGAAGGAATAAAGCAATTTTATATATTTTTTATCTTCAAAAGAATTGGTAATTAGATAATTCGATAGAGTAAAGTTTTAACATTAAGAACTTGTTTCTTAAATTGCGAACAATTTTTAACAGAGTTATAAGAAATCAAAGTCGGAATGTTTTTTTTTACTTAACACTCAGTAATGAAAAATCGTAAGAATATTTTTTGAAAACAAATTTTGAGGGAAAACTTTAAGCTTTTTCACGTGTGTCAGATAATCAACAATTTTTGCACATTTTTTTGGGGGCACGTACAGGTCTAAAGTAAGAAGAAAACTTTCCGTTTTTTTTCTTTGCAGTTTTCTCTATATAAAAATTATCAAACTTTCGTAAACTCAAAAAATACAATA